CATTCTTGGAGGACCCATCACCCCAAATTGAAAAAAAAAAAAAAATAGAACCTATGCAGCTAAATCTAATATAAATAAATAAAACTCTTTAAGACTTCAAAAATAAAAGGTGTAGATTCAAGTTAAAAGAAGCTTTTAATAGGCCAAATCTTTTCAAGTTGTCTTTAGAAAAAGAATCAAAGGCACTAACATTCTAAGAAATTGTCCTCCACAGTCAATGATTATTAGTGTCTTTATATATTTTTCTTACTAGTACAAGGAGACTCAACGTCTTGCTAAATTTTGTGAAAATATAAACTGAGCTTCTTGTCTGCTCAACAGGGTTATAAGCTCCTGTATTTGTAAAATGTCTTACTCTCCTTCTTAGACTCCTGTTATGGATGGTATGGTTGTAGGTAAAGGTAGTGTCATGAAATCTCTGTTGAATAAGTACTTCTTTCTTATATTAAGCATTTAAATTATTTAAATTTTTATTACAAAAGTTTATTAGGGGAAAAATTAACTAGAACATACAGGGAACAAAAGGAAGGCCATCAAATCATCAGTAATCTCAAAAGACCCTGACAGTATTGCTAATTGCTATCAATAGCTTGGTGTTTGCAGACTAGATTCTTTTTTTTTCTTGCAGAGATTTTTTTTTTTTTTTTAAACTGGAGATATATATTATAATTTTGTAAACTGATTTTCTGGCTGAATGAATAGCTCTAAGATGATCTCTATTTGCTTCTAAGTTTCATTTTCAAATCCCACTCCTGACATATTTTCACTCTTGACATCACACATCTACTAGCAAAAGTCATTTCATAGCTCACATTGAATACCTAGTTCTTTTGAAAAGAGGTCAAGTTATACACAGTCAATCCTAAAGCTCTCCTTGAGGAAGTGAGAAAATAAATATAGTTTAGTACAGTGAAAAACAAAACAGAATTTGAACATCAGGGCTAGAAGTAGCAGATCTAAAAAGGCAAAGTATGAGGATGGCCAGCCGATTAGCCACATGGCAAAAATGGCAATGAATATCTAAGCCAGTGGTTTTCAAGCAACAGTCCCCAATCAGCAGCATTTGCATCATCTGAGAACTTTCTAGAAATGCAAATTCTTGGGCCTATCCGGGCTTACTGAATCTGAGTCTCCGAGCGGGGGTGAAGGGATAAAGCCCATTAATAAGCCCTTCAGGTGACTCTAATGCATGCTAAAGTCTTAGTAACATTGCCCTAAGCCAACGGTTAGAACAATGGTGCAAGTTGCACATTAGAATCCTTCTGGGGGCTTTTACAACACAGTGATGCCTGGACACCACCCCAGCCCAAGTAAGTTAGAGAATCCCCTGGGTTGTTAGCTGAACATCTTTATTTTTTACAAGTTTCCCAGGTGATGCTAATAAATAACTAGAACTGAGAACTGTTGGTGAAACACATGTATCAATCCAACAAATTGAGAAATAAACTGAGAAAAAACTTGGCTGAAAATTTTAGGATATTTGGCCATAATAGCTGAAATAGTGTATACATATTTAAATGAAGTATCATTTACTTTATTTTACTTCACTGGATCAACTCGTTTAAAAGAGATGAGAAATGCTTTGGCAAAGAAAACTTAAATGTTATTTAGAAATAAGTGTTATTATCAGCTAATAAGTTTTTTGGTCTATAATATAAATTTAAAGATTTTATACACAAGAAAACTCGATGTTTGTAATTATGCATGGTAAAATTACCTGCTCAGGACTTTGATACAATAATTTAAAATTTACAGGTGCCAAAGGCCACTGAGGGTAAAAGTAACAGTCCTAAACCTTTCATAAGGACAGGAAGTATCACAGTACAACAGTATAAACAATAAGGCAACAGCTTACATTTAGCAAAAATTTTCATACATATTACCTTAATCATTGTAACAACGCTACAGGGTGGGTACCATAACATTTATTGAACAGTAGTAATATCTATTCACAATGAGGACCCTAAGACATTAGGAACACTGTTTTGTTCAAAATATTTTACTTAAGAAATAAAATTAGGCAAACACTTCTCAAACAGAACTCACAAAGCGCTAACACAGTTCTCACCTCAGCAGGATATACACTAAAATTGAAACAATACAGAGAATACTGGCATGGCCCCTATGCAAGGATGACACGCAAATTCATGAAGTGTTCCATATATTTAAAAAAAAAGCACTAGCAGAGAAGAAAATTAGATAAATAAGAAAACAAGAAATGGACTAGGCAAAAGTTTAAAGAAAATGAGAAACAACAATCACTAATTATATAAGAAAAAATAATTTTATTGAAGTCGAATTTATAAAGAATTTCTGTTCATCAAAAGTTAACATTTAGAGAGTTAAAAGACAAGACAGACTGAGAGATGATATTCACAGTCTACAGCTCACATTGGAATCATATCCAAAGCGTAAAAATATATATTTATTTCTCACATATTGAGAAAAAAATAAACGGCCTGATTTAAAAATGAGCAAAAGGCATGAAGAAGCATTCACACACACAAAAAAGGAGATTGAAATGACTGATAAGCACATGAAAAAGTATTCAATGTTATTCTTCTCAAGAAAATCCAAATTAAAACTATGGTGGGATATCAAAACACTCTCACCAGCATGCTCAAAATTCTAAGCGTATGCCTACCCTATCACCCAGCAATTCACCTCCTAATAGATACCCGAGACAGGTGAATGCAATTGCTCACCAGAAGACAGGTTCAAAGAATGTTTCTTAGCAGTTTTATTCATAATCGCTAAATTACGAATGGGGAAAACTTAAATGTCCATTAACAGGAGAATGGATAAATAAATACTGGTATATACATAAAATGAAATAGTACACATTGATTTAAAAAAAAAAAAACAACTGCTTGACATAATAATTGTTGCCTTATATGAGAAGAGAGAATGAAATGAGAAGGCTAATGAAGCAACATTCTGAAATGTTGAACATATTTTCTTTCTTCATCGGAGGTAGTTACACAAGTAACATACAGATTAAGATTAGTCCACTGTATGATATAAACTCAATTAAAATTAAAATAAAGAAGACAAGGAAAAGCATAATCTTAAAAGGCAGCATTTAAAATAATTCCAACAGTATCTTTTTGCTTATGGAGTTCAAAACCAGTTATATAAAAGAGTTATCTCCTTAGAATTTTGTCTCATTATCATTTACTCCATGAATCATAAATCAAATTAGTTTTCTCTAGTTCTTAATAATTAGAAATAAAAAAATAAAGAACACATCTTTCATCTCCCTTGAGCATTCATATGAATATACTCCATCCGAAAAGAAGTCATATTCTTTGACTTCACCATAATTTCCTTTCTAGATTTTGCATGTGAAAATGTATATAAATAGAATAGCAATAGCCATGCTTCCAGTTACTTTATAATGATGGAGCAAAAGGAGACTTTAAATTCTAGGTGTGCACACTTTTAAACTGGATTAAATTTATCACTTGTGCAATCAAGACCTTAGTATACAGATAACCCCCCACTTAAAATGGTTCAACTTGCAATTTTTTTGCCTTTCTGATAGTGTGAAAGCAATGCACATTCAGTGGAAACCATACTTCGAACTTTGAATTTTGATCTTTTCCCGGGCTAGCAAATATGAGGTATGATACTCTCTTGATACTCTTTCATGATGCTGGGCAGCGTCAGTAAGTCGCAACTCCCAGTCAGACACACAATCATGAGGATCATCAACCGATATTCTGCAGTATACTGTGCTGCCAGCATTTTTTTGGATACGCTGTTTTGTGTTTTTGCAGCCCATCATGTAGACAAAATGCCCATCTCTGTCTCTCCTGCTTCTGAGAAAAGGAGGAAGGCAATTACTCTTGAAATGAAACTCAAGATAATTGACCAACTGTAGGCTAACGTAAGTGTTCTGAGCACAGTTAAGGTAGGCTAGGCTAAGCTATGATGTTCGGTAGATTAGGCGCACTGAATGCATTTTAACATACAATATTTTCGACTTATGCTGGGGTTTATTGGGATATAACTCCATTCTAAGTGGAAGATTATCTGTATACATATATATAATATGTAAAAATATAAACGTTGAATATATAACTTTAAATATTGATGTTGCTGCTATCACACTGGTCAAGGCAGAAGAGGGTAGAACATTATTTTCTTAAACTGATACCAGCTGCTCAGCAATCACCACATGAATCCTTATCTTGCTGGCCAATCAAAAGCAGCCTCCTCCTTAAAAGCAAACATCTGCTGCCCATTTATAGCAATTTCTACTTGAAAACAGGTTTATCAAAAACAACTTCAGCTTTGACAACACTGAACATGTGCTTCCAGAAAAAAAAGAGCTTTGCATCTCAACTATACTATGATTTCTAACTCTAGATTCCCCCAATACCTTAAAAAAAAAAAAAAAAAAAAGATTTTCATAGTATCTTTCCTTTCAGTGTGCTTCATAAAGACAATTTTCATTCTGTGCTTATTCTCCCCATACCTCCTTGGCTGTGTGTTCACCTCTTCAGAGAGCAGAGGGCTCTCAACTTGGAAGAAAAGTGACATCAAACCTGCCGCCTTCGCATTTTGATTTGAGCATGATTTTAGAAAGTGACACTAAAGTGTAGTATACTGTTAAGGGAAGCCAGACTGCTTGGGTTTAGGAATTAAAAAATAAGAACTCAATACATTAATGAATGATGTTATTTCCATTGTTGCTGCTATTATAACTATTACTTACATCACAAGGCAGAAAGTTATTTAAAATTCAGGGATGCTGGCTGGCATACATAAAATCTAATTTATATATTTATATAAATGAGAAGGAAATTGAAGAGATTGAAATTCGAATTCAGTGTTTGCTAAAGTACTCAGAGAGAGCCAATAATTCAATTAAAACAAATGCAACATGTCATTTCTATTTCATTAACAGTTTTGAAGCTCCATTCCACTTTGAAATTTTGTTATATGTAGAAGAAAAAAACACTGTAACTTCATTCATGGGATCTGAATTTCTGCTACATTTCCATCTCTATATTGTTAAGATGATAAATTCCCCCTACCAAGAGCTACTAAATAAACTCTAAATCACTGCTGTAAAGACAGTATTTATCAAACCATCTATGTCTTATGAAATTCTTTCTCTACTTTAAAAGTCAGCTTTTGATTGCAAGTTATAAGAAGCCCAGAGAAAAGTTCTTGAATCCAGGCTATCACTCTAAGATTTGAGGATCTTCCCCCTTCTTGGAATGAAAAGAGATTTATCATTATGAATTTATGTGAATATCTTTTATTTTTTTCCACCTTCTTCCAGGAAGAATTCTGAAAAGCCATTTTCTAGTTTAGCAAGGAAAGGATCATGTGTTCCTATTTCCATCTTGAGCTTGTCATGGCATTTTTAGTGTTGTTTTCAAGAGTAATAAGGCCCATAACATGTCAGTCAAAACCCACCACCAGCAGGGAATGTGTTGGAAGCTGTTACATAACCAGCATGCCTGTTTCAGCACAACACAAGTGGTATTTTTCATGTCAATACTGAATTCGCAACTTTAAATCTCTGATTTCCTATGCTTCTGGGTTACCATGGAAGCCAGGACTGTAGCAGTCTGAGCAGCCTGAGTCAAAACCCAAGTGTTTCATTGCCTAATGGAGTAATGAGTCATTCTACTCTCCCAGGTTTCCTGTCCCTGAGTAATAGAATTATTGGAAAGAGGCATGAGGGAAAGGCAGAGCAGGGTACTTCTGACAGCTGCAGAAAAGACTGCAGAAACTCTCAGCCCAATGCATGCACTCAGATTTTCTAAACTGACACTTATCTTCAAATTGAAACTTGAAAGCTGATGTAGTACTACTCAGTAATCTGTATCTGTCTACCCCAGCCTCATTTACCAGAAGACCAGATACCCACTGTACTGTGCTCTCAGCTTATATCTTACTTGGCATAAAATTACTTGTAGTACAGGTTTTCAACTCTATTTCTAAATTAACACCACCTAAGACATTATGGTGATCTGAATCCTATGCTATGCTATCTATTTAAGATGGAAAAGACATATTAGACCAGCATGCTATTATCTTCTAATATGCTTTCTCCGCAGTATATTCTCCAACCAAATAAGATGGTAAATGATTTGGGTAATGGACCTTTTTGAGTTTCTTTAGAGCTTTCTCTCCCAGACTTTAGTTAACATTTTTATGGCTATGGAATTATATGATGGAATATTCCCGTAGTAGGTGATAATGTGGGAAGAAAAAAAAGTAAGCAGGAGAAAGAGCAATGATGATGAGGGGGAGAGGAGAAAAACACAGAGGAGGAAGAAACTATGAAGAAAGAGAGCTGGAAGTGAAACAGAAAAAAAGAAGACAAGAAGAAGAAGAGAGCGAGGAAGGAAGGAGGAGGAGGAGGAAACAGGAGGAAGAGGAGGCATCCTTTCATAGAGTTTTGTTTGCACGATATTTCTGTGTATCTGATACAGTATAACTTTTTTCCCCTTGCAGCATGGAGCTTCAGTTACTCAAAAAGTATTTCACAACTTCTTGAAATCTCATAATATCCTATGAAGAAAGACTCTAAACAACTATTTCTATTTATCATATTTAAAAAAGTTGTTAAGAACTTGATTCTGTGGTCCCCCTACCCTTGCCTCTGCATGTGATTTTAACCATGTTACTTTTAATTACTTGAAAAATTCTCCACCTATAGTACTTATTCTCTTCTACCCCTTACGAGGCTTTTATTTAAAAAAAAAAAAAAAAATCTTGTTCAAATCGTATCTCAAAAAAATTATAGCACTGTACTAAAAGCCAAAGAAATAGACTTTTAATACATCAATAGGTATGGATATCGATATACATTCACACAGAGAGAGAAAAACTGCATTTAACTGATTCTAAAGCACCATGGATCATAAGATACACTATTATTTTATGTACCATTAAGAAAAAAAATTATATCAAGACATAACTTCAATTACAAGATGTGCCCTGATTTCAGACTTTACTCCAACCATAAGACAGCATCAGACAAAGTGAAATTGAGAGACATTGTACAAAATAACTGACGAGTATTCTTCAAAAGTGTCAAGGTCATAAAAGGCTAGGAAATGGTTGCACATTGGAGGAGACTAATAAGAAATAATGACTAAATGCAATCTAAGGTTCTGGATAGGATCCTGGAACAGAAATCAT